ATGGGCATAGAGGAGGACACTTATGGGGATGAGCACTGAGTGTTATGTGGAAACTAATTTGACAATAAACTATTTGTAAAAAAAAAAAATGAAAATAGATTCCTACCTCAAAGCAGCACAAAAATCAATCCTAAATAGATTAAGAATTTAAATGTTAATGGAATATTGTGTTTTCTTTTTCTTTCCTTTTCAGACATACTTTGACTTGCCATTTGATTTCTTATTTGGCCCATTGCTTGTGTAGTAGTGTGCTGTTTAATATTTACATATTAAGTATTTAATATTTACCTTGTAGATTTTCCGCTATGTTTTTAAAAATATTTATTTACTTTTGAGAAGAAGAAGAGAGAGAGAGAGCAGGGGAGGGGCAGAAAGAGAGACAGACAGAGGAATTGAAGCAGACTCTGCACTGGGAGCAGATACCCCAATGCAGGGCTTGAACTCAGAAACTGTGAGATCAGCCTGAGCCAAAGTCAGACACTTAACTGACTGAGCCACCTAGGCACCACCCCAGCTTTGTTTCATTGTTGATCTTTAGTTTTGTACCATTGTGGCTGGAAAATATACTTGGGGCCTGGGTGGCTCAGTCGGTTAAGCGTCCAACTTCGGCTCAGGTCATGATCTCACGATTCGTGGGTTCGAGCCCTCCATCGGGCTCTGTGCTGACAGCTAGCTCAGAGCCTGGAGCCTGTTTCAGATTCTGTGTCTCCCTCTCTCTCTGACCCTCCCCTGCTCACGCTCTCTCTCTCTCTCTCTCTCTATCAGAAATAAATAAAATATTTAAAAAATTTTTAAATATATACTTGGTATGATTTCAGTCTTCTTTAAAAAAAAAAAAAAGAACTGAAATGTGAAAAGCCAAACTTAAACTTTTTTGGAGAAAATAGAAACTTAAACTTTTTTGGAGAAAATAGAGTATCTCTTAAGCAAGGCACAAGAAGAATCAGCTGAAAAACTGGAAGACTAAGAAATTCAACACTGAAATTCTGTTCTTCAAAAGATATAATGAAGACAAATCATCCAACTGAAAGACTGTTAGTACTTAATACATAAACATACATAAGGAACTCCTACATGTCAATAAGAAAAAGATAAGGGGCACTTGGGAGGCTCAGTTAGTGTCCGACTCTTGGTTTTGGTTCACGTCATGATCTCATGGTTCCTGAGTTCGAGCCCCACATCGGGTTCTGTGCAGACAGCATGGAGCCTGCCTGGGATTCTCTCTCTCCTCTCTCTCTGTCTCTCTCTGTCTTTCAAAGATTAACAAACATTAAAAAATTTTTACTTGTAAACTTGGGTTCCTCCTGGTTGCTGGGCATGACACAGTCACTTTACCAGTGATGCTCCTCCCCACCCTCCCCCTGCTCACCTCACCATGCACACTGCCCACCGCCTGCCCCTCGCCTCCACTTTCCTGGATATATTTGGCTTCCCTCACACCTCCCATGCCTCCCCTACCCTCATGGACCACAGGACAAAGCAGAAAGGCAACTCTGTGACTTTATTGGATTATGGGAAGGGGTTTGTACAGTCCAGCCAGACTGTCAGTCCCTGAAGGCAAGCAGAAGCCCTGAGAGGATGCCCCAAGCAGGACTCTGACTGGAGGGCTCTGCACCAGCAATCTGGGCCCTCTCTAAGACATTGAGGACCTCGGTCACTCTGATGGTTCCAATATGGTGAAAATCTGCCAGAAGTTTCTGATGTCCACGAGCACAGCCCATGAGGAGGAAGGTGGCATTGAGAAACCCTGTAAGGAAGACAGGGAGCAGCTAGGGACACTTTCAAGACACAAACGCACCGCTCCTCCTTCCAGAAACCCCTCACAAACCAGAACACCTGCTCTCCTGCCAAAAACTTGGGTACCAGACACCTTATTCCTTCCTCCTTGGAACTCACATGGCTGCTCCCCGCAGCCCCAACCTCCCTCTCGGTCCCAGCCTCTCTGAGAGATGAGAAGGCACTAAATGGAGTTTCTCTTCTCTCACCTGCCTGAAATTTTAAGGTAGAACTGTAGCACTGAGAAGCGTCATAGGGGCAAGAATCCGTGGTGACAAAATTTGGGAGGCAATCCTTAGAATGTTCGCCCACACAGGTTGGGCAACTACGGGAAGAAAATGCTGTTGACCTAGGAGCGTTGGCCTTGAGTTTCACAAAAGGATCCAAGTTGGTGAGGTTATTGCAGAGATATGACCGGCAGACGCGGCTGTAGGAGGCAATGGACAATCCAGGCGGTGAAACGAGGTAGGAGACTTGCGGGGGGTACGATGAGGCTGGGCTGCAGCCCTTAAAACCCACAACTCCCCTTCTGGACCCTGAGGAGCAGATTAGAGAGTGCAGATCAGTGTCATTGGTCACCCCAAGACCCACCCTGCACCTTGCTCTTCCAGCGCACGCTGCCCCTTCACAACTTTGCCAAGGTGTTCAGTTGCACGGGGCTCGGATCCTGGGGTCTCCATCTGTCTCTCCTCAACCCGCCCTCCCCACAGGAGCCCCTCTGCTCCTCTCTCCCGGGTCCCTTCCCTTTCTCCTCTCCCATATTGCCCCTCTCCTCCTGGGATCTGCTCACCTCCTTTCTGCCCTCTTCTCCAGCCCACACGATACCCAGCTGGGTCCTGCCTCTCTCGTCAGAGTCTTGACATTATTCCCAAAGATATAATGGTGCAGATATTTAGAGCTTGGGTCCAGAGCTACTTCCCTTCACCGGCCTCGATGAACACCAGCGTCTCCTCACAGCCCTCACTCAGCTTACACACCATGCTCCTCATCAGAAGCCATTTCCAGTTATGGAGCGAGACAGCTCTGAAGAGTGAGGATGTTGCTTCGTAGCACAAAAGAGCCCCAGCCCCTAAGGAGAGAGTGCCCTTCCAGTCACTCGCCTGGCTTTCTCAGCCCCCAAACTGCCAACCAAGAACTCAGCCCCCACAGATCGTGTCCCCCTGAAGAACCCAGATATCCCACCCTCCTTCCCCCAGTTATGTGAATCCAGCCCCCCACCCTCGGGGGGGCCCCAAAGCAGCCAGGCCTGCACGACCTACAAGGCAGAGCGCAGACGGCCCCTAGGAGGCAGAGCAGCTGCACAGCGCTCAAGTGCTGGGGTCCCATGGTCCTGGGTCTGGGTGCCTGGATGCTAAAGGTCAATCTGGAACCAATTTCAATCCAGGTATCAAGCTCAGTTCTCGTCAGTTTCTGAATCCTCTGTTCACTTGTCTCTGGGTCACTGTTTCTAGAGCAGAAAGTTGTCAGTTTCCGTGATATAGGCTCCCTGAGACCTTCAGGGACACAGGTCTTCCTATCTCCATAGTCTCCTCTCCACCTGCCCCGAACCCACTACATCAGCTTCTCAGAAAGTCATGACCCTCCCCTGCTTAGGTCCTCCCATTGGAGGCTGACCAAAGATGACTTAATCAGAGGTTACACAGGCTGCTCTCTAGCCAGAGACAGTGAGATCAAAACAACAGAGGTGTGTGTAGAAGTTCACTGAGATATCACTAAATAGCTTTTGGTTTGAAATGGATATTTATAAGTATTCGGAAGTGAATAAAAATGAAAATAGCACATCTCTCACACTCACACACACATGTGCGTGTAAAATCTGGTGAAACCTAATCAGGTCTACAGTCTAGTTAAGAGTATTATTTATACCAATGTTAATTTCATGTTTGTATCCTACAGTTATACAAGATGTACCTGTGGGGAAGCAGGAGGAAGTGTTTATGGGTTTACAACTTTTGCAACTTCTCATGAGCCAATAATCATTTCAAAATCAAGTGGGTTTTTTTTTTTTAACCACAAGCCAAAATTTTGGACACCACTGAAGCAGTATTTAGAAGTAAATGTGTAGTTTCAATACATTTATCAGGAAACAGGAACGCTAAAAACCATGGTCATGAGTGAACCCAAGAAGTTGTACAGGAGCAACAAAGCATCACCTGCCCTCCCCCCCAAAACAGGATAGAAATTAAGATAATGGCAGAAACCAGTGAATTAGAAAACAGCAGCAACAAAAAAATTATTCCAGGAAACTTTCTTTGACAAGATCCACAAGATAATTCTCCAGCAACTCTAATTAGGAGAAAAAGAGAAGATGCAAATAAAATACAAAATGAAAAATAGGAAGTCACAGACAGGAAGGGTTTTTTTTTTTTTTTAACTATAAGTATCCGTAAGAACTCTACATTTATAAATTTGAAAACTGAGATGAAGTGGGGGTGACTGGCTGGCTCAGTCAGCAGATCACACAACTCTTGTAATTGGGATTGTGATTTGGAGCCCCACAATGGGTAGAGAAGTTACTTAAAAAATAAAAGCTTTACAAGACCCAGATGAAGTGGATAGATTTCCAAAACAATCTGAAATGTCAAGATTGGCATATGAAGAGTATATGGAAGGCCTTAAAGCAATGAAAATGGCCAAGGATCTCTGGCAAATTGACAAGAAAAAGAAAGGGGCGCCTGGGTGGCTCAGGTGGTTAAGCATCCGACTTCAGCTCAGGTCATGATCTTGTGGTTCGTGGGTTCGAGCCCCACATTGGGCTGTGTGCTGACAGCTAACTCAGAGCCTGGAGACTGTTTCAGATTCTGTGTCTCCCTCTCTCTCTGACCCTCCCCTGCTCATGCTCTCTCTCTCAGAAATAAAAAAAAACATTTTAAAAAAGAAAAAGAGAGTAGCCCCAGTAGGAAAATGGGTCAAGCATATGAAGAGACAATTCTCAGAGAGCAAACCAGAGAAGCTAAGAAACACGTGGAAGACACGCAAGGTTAACAGTAACCAGAGAAATGCAGTCTATCAAACTGTACATCTATCAGACTGGCAAAGAATCAGAAAGCCGGAAAAAAAATTAAGTGTTGGCAGCAACGTGGGTATACAGGGACGCTTGTGTACTGCTGCTCGTGGGGTTGGTAGAAGGGGGGCAGGACCTTCTTCTGGACCGTGAGGAATAAAGGAGAATTCTGATGGATCTTTCAGGACCAAAGCAGCGTTGCTGGGAGGAGTCTGGCAATACTAAGTCGAATTCGGTTTACAAATAACCATTACTACTATATCCTATGTAAAACGTAATAGAGGGTTCCACCTTCATCCACAAGGGAATATATACAAAGATGCAGCATTATCAGGGTGATAGTGGGTCGAAAGCAATGTGGGCATCCCTCCCTAAGACTTAGGGAACACACAACATGCAGGGGGTGAAACCATGGACTATCACGCAGCAATGAAAAGAAGCTGATTAAATGTACACATAATATGTAAATGGATGGATGAAAACAAGCACAGTGGTGGTTATTTTAAATAATAAATAACACAATATCATCTGCATAAGGTAAAACTACATGCAGAGGGGCACTGGAGGGTCAGAAGAGGAGAGCATGCAACTCTTGTTCTCCGGGTTGTGAGGTCGAACCCCGCACCAGGTGCAGAAATTACATACATACGCATATACATAAACTTTGAAAAACACATGCACATAAGATACTGCACATGTTGCAAGCACACACATGAACCAAAGGATATCCATTAGCCACCTGAACTGAGTGTCTACAGGAGGGTTAGGGAATGAAAGTGGAGAATGGCGACCACTGGAAACACTCACTAAAACAACGTAGGTGGTACGAAGGTCATAAGCTTTGGACTCAAAGGTAGAGCACAGTTAGAATCTTTACCCCTGCACTTACTAGCTGTGCAATCTTATGCAGGTTGTTGAATTCATCCGTAAATTGGATTAATAATACATCTCATAAGGTATTGTTGAGAATTAGTAAGATTATTAATATAAAGTGCCAGGCAAGTACTAGGCTTTTCATAAACGTCTGTTCCCCAGTCTCTCTCTGTCTCTCGACCATATAAAGGGTCAAGGCCAACCTCATTAGCTGGCATTCAAGCCTCCCACACCCCACACCGGCCCCAAACAACCTTTCCAACTTCGTCTAGTACTGCTCCCCCGCACAGCGGTCCAGCTAGAGGTCACTTCTGCCACCCTTTCCTGTCCCGAATGCCGGGCACGCAGGCTCCGTAACACAGGAGTCTGTGGCAAACAAAGGGGCTAAGACCCACAGAAGATGGGACACAGGAAGGGGGAATGAAGGCTGACAGAGGAACACACAAATGGGTCGGGCCAAACGGAGAAGATGGCACACACCAGGCTGGAATGCAAAACGACAGGACCCAAAAATCTGAGCACAGGTGGAGACACCCAGAAAACAGTGGAGTGAAATCCTCAGGGAGAAAGGATGGAGAGGATGGGGACGTGCTCCGAGGGGATCCTACCCCACTAAAGAGACACCATGCAGAGGAGGAGGGGCAAACTGATGGACTGGAACCACGCAGGGAGTCCAGAGGAGCAGCGCAGAGAGCACAGGAGGAGAGGCAGGAAAATGAGGCCTGGGGCCCAAAGAAGCGGCTCTCGAGGGGGGCGGGGGGGGGAGGGGAGACAGGGCGGGATGCTCAGAAAGCAGGGGGCAAAACAGGGTGGGAGGGAAACCGTGAGACACACAGAGAAGGCAGACGACAATTACAGAGTGGAGCCTAGATAAAATTGATGAATTTTGGTGAAATCGGGAGGGAGATGCACACGGAGGGTGGAGAGGGCTGAAGAGATAGAACAGGGGGCGTCTCAGAAAGAAAGTGAAGAATGGGCGGGGGGGGGGGCGGGTAGGGCCAGGCTATTTGGAAATTGGGAACGTGGAGGAAGGAGGCCCGAAAATCAGCAGGATAAACAGGCGGAGGAGAGAAACTGCAAGAGAACAGGGAATAAAGACGTTAGGAAAATCAACACCAAAACGGACGGGCAGACAGACACGGAAACGGGTGGGACACGGGAAGGAAACAGGGAAAATGACAGGAGGGGAAACACATAAAAAGGAGAAGGTAGATGGGCGGTTGGGGCACAGTGAGAAAAGTGAGGGAAACACGAGCGTCCACACAGCAAAGAGGAACCACCGGGTCCAAGTCGAAGCAGGAACACCAGGAGGAAAGACCGGGCTGTGCAGGCTAGAGGGCGAGACTGCGCGTGCGCAGGCAGGTCCCGGTCAACGCCTGGTGGTGGGCCCCAGCTAGCCGTTTCTTGGGGGGCAGGGCCAGCCTCATCCTGGGAGCAGTACTCGACACCCCATTGGCCATCTCTCCGTGAAGGGGAAGGTCAATGTGGGAAGGCAAGCCGCGGGGGGGTGGGGGGGGGGGAAGTAAGGAGGCCTGAGACTCTACTCGACGCGCTATTGGCTGGCCTCACAGCCTGGCGCGAGGAGACGAGGACTGGAGATAAGGGGCGGGCGGTCAGTGCAGGATCTTGAAGCGCATTGGTCGCTTGCCTCGGCGGCGGGAGGCGACGCTTGAACCTCATTGGTCCTTGTGAGAAGGGGCGGGAAAGCTGGCGCGAGCGCAGCCGTTCCTCCCTCCGCTTCCTCACTATGTCCTTTCGCGTCTTCCTGACTGAGTCCGACTTCGCTTGCTCGAGGCTGTGGTAACCCCGGGGCCGGGGCCTGAGGTCGCGAACACGACCCCTCCCCTCCCTGTCCCTTCTCCGCCCTCTCCCTGGCGCTGGGCCCCCTGCTCCGCCTCCCTCTCGCGCTCCTCACGCCCCTCTCCTCCCCTCCCCCACCTCTCGGTGCCCCTTGGCGCGCTCCCCGTGCCCCGCCCCCTCCCTGGGACCCTGGAGCGAGGAGAGGCTGAAGGCCCAGCTGCTAAAGGGTGTGCACGCGGGCAACAGGCGCGCGAGGCGGTGGCACGCTGCAGGGAGGTGGGGTGCAGGGTGGGGTGCGTGCGCTCTCGTCGCTGGGAAGGGGCAAAGGCGCCCCCAAGAGCCAGGTGCAGCGACCGCAGGGTTGGCGCCAGAGTTTGGAGGGCATGTGGGTGCAAGAGGGGGATCCGTGCGGTGAAGAGGGGGCCTGCGCCCGAGATCGGGGCCTGGCACCCGGAAGGGGCTCAGTAAACGTCCGTCAAGGAAATGAAAATAATTCCTGAAGGCGGGACGAGGAATCTCTGAGAAGAAAGTAACCGCGGGGTGGGGGTAGCATCGAGAGTGTTCTGATTTAAAAGGGGTGGTGGGGGGAGCAAGGGGAATGTTGGCTCGCAGGACCTACATGAGGCTAAGAATTGAACGGGGAGCACAAACGTATTTGGAGGAATGTAGGGATGGAATACACGCCGGAGGGAAGGATGTTCGTGGCCTGGCCGAAGACGATGGCAGGAAAAACCATCCGAGTGGGGGGCTGGGGCGGGGGGGGCAGGTGTGGACTGGGAAAGGGAGTAGAGAATCCCTTCGGAGGGGCGGGGAGCTGTGAATGAGTATGAGCATGGGGCTTGTGCGCCGGGAAAGCCCAGGCGAGCAGCAGAGAATGTTTGCGTTGAAAGAATACATAAGAGAGGAGCGAGAAGAGGGGCGCGGGGCAAGAAGGTGAGGCTTCTGGGAAGCAGGATGCTCGAGGGAGGCAGTGGGTGAAGAAGGGAGAAAGCCAGGGAGGAAGCAAGGTGACAGCTGAGACCACAGATGGTGCAAGGCCTCCCAGGGGCGGGAGGGCTGGTCAGCAGAGGGCCCCTGCAGCCACCCTGACCTTCCACTTGTGCCTCCAGATCCATGGATGCGAAGGAAGTGCCTGCTGCCCACTCCTGCGCCCCAGGCTCTGCCACAGGGGGTGTGACCAGAGGCCCCCCGGGCACAGAGCTTATCCCCAGGAGAGCTGCCAGTCGCTCTCCCACCTGTGCCCGCTGCCGAAACCACGGCGTCACTGCCCACCTCAAGGGCCACAAGCGCCTCTGCCTCTTTCAGACTTGCGAGTGTCACAAATGCGTCCTCATCTTGTGAGTACGACTGAGGTCCAGGGAAGGGAGGAGGATGGGCCTCATATAAAGGGAGGCTAACTCTTGACTCGCAACCCCCATTTTAGGGAGCGCCGAAGGGTCATGGCTGCCCAGGTGGCCTTGCGCAGGCAACAGGAAGCACAGCTAAAGAGGCACCTGGCTCAGGGACTGATGAGGAGAGGGCCCACTCCCAAAGCTCCTAGCCGTGTCAAGAAGGGAGCCACTCGACCGGGGGTCCCCTGTGAGTGTCTGGCAAGGAATGGGTCAGGGTTTGAGGTGGAGAAAGCAGAAGCAGGGAAAAGAGTCCCAGACCTGCCAATGGATTAGTATGTGACCTTGGACGAAGTGTTTCTACTCGCTGGGCCTCAGCGTCTCCAACTTTAAGATGTGATCATTGGGAGTATGTTGTGACAGCTGTGGGTTGAAAAGGGTCACAGGGAGGGTCACGGGGAGATAAAAACTCAGTGTTCGATTGGAGTGGGATGGGGCTTAGGAAAAAGGGCTCATCAAAACTCTCCCTGGTCCTTCATAGCTGGAAAGGAGAACATAGCACCCCAGCCTCAGATGCCCCATGGGGCAGTCCCACTGGCACTGACACCCCCTGGGAAGGTAAGGAGAACCTGGGCCATGGGGGGAGTGATTCCTACGCTAGCCGCTGCCCAGGCCCCTTCCTCTGTGCCCTCTGCACTTGGCTTCTAGATTTAGCCCTGACTTGTAATATCAACTCTGGTCAAATCACTTCTCTTCTATGGGCTAAAAATGAGAAAGTTGGATTTTACAGCCCTCCAAGTCTAAAGTTTTGAGGTCTTACCCCCATCCTAGAACATACTCATTCTTTCCCCAAGCTTGTACCTCACTCCAACCTGTGCTCTCTGCCCTTGCAGGATAACTCCCAGGGGCCTCTGCTGCTCAGCCGTCCCCCAGAAGCCTTGCCTTTGTCCTGGACTCCAATGCCCCCAGGCCCTTGGGCTCCTGGACACTGGTTGCCTCCAGGCCTTTCCGTGCCACCCCCAGTGGTGTGCCGCTTGCTATGCCAAGAACCTGCTGTCCCTCTGCATCCCTTTCCTGGTAAGATGAATTCAACATTCGTTCAACAGATGTTTAAATGCCATTGTACTACTGTAGCAGAAAGAGAAGAGGAAGCGGATACAGGGTAAGAAGGAAGATAGAAGCCATGATGTTTAATTCCTATACACTCCTGCATTCTCTTACCCTCATTAGACTTTGACCCTGGCACTTCCCTCCGGCTGCCCACTCACGGGCCCCTCCCAACCTGCCCAGGATCTCGCCCGATACTGACGGCTCCTCTTTCTGGAGAATCCCAAGGGCCCTCTGCTTTGCCCCGCACGTGAGTAGAGAGGGAAGGATACACGTTTATCATATGCTTAACCCTGTTCTGGACACCAGAGCAGATGATATAGAAGACAAGGTCTTAGATCTCATGAAGAGGAGCTCTCCTAGCTCTGCCATTGCCTTACTATGAACCTTTGGGCAAATATCTTTATCTCTCTGAACTTGGTTTTCTATCAGGAAGTTGGAGACACAATTATTATCTTCTTGGGTTGTCATGAGCATTAGTGGTAATGTATGGAATGCATCTAGCACAGGACATGGACTTGGACAAATAGGAACTCTTAAATCCCCTTAAAGATGACATGGAGTCGAGTTGCCTGCTGAAATGGGGGATGGGGCATGATGGTGAGAGCCTCAGAGGCCAGAGATCTTTAGAGAAAGCTTCTTAAAAGGGGGCCAACCTGCTCCTCAAGTTCCGTGGGGATTGGGGAGCTAGGGGAGGAAAACTAGACTCTGGTAGGGCAGGAACAGTCATCCCAGTGCCTCCCAATGTCTGGTATGTTTTTAAAAACTGACATCAATGATTTCCCATAATCATCACTCCAGTAGCCCTGGAGTAAAGAAGCTGGCAGATATTTTCATTTCATAGAAAACAAAGCAGGCCGAGCCAGGGGAAGGGACTTGCCCAAGTCCACAAAGCCTAATGACCCAGCAGGCACCCAGACTCCTAGATCAGCATATACCAAAATCCTGTCCTTTTTTCCACGTGTACATGGCTGTCCATGTGTTTAATCCCCTTGGCATCTTTTCTGCTTGCTTCTAGATGCTCGACTCTGATACTCCAGCCCTGTGGCACCCCAGACCCTCTTCTGCTGCAGCCACAGGTCCTGGGAAAGACATAGGATCCAGGACCCTGGGAGGAAGTTGAGCCGGGGGGAGGGAACATAGGAGATAGTGAAGTAACCAGGGGCTGAGAGTACTTGGAGGGTGGGCAGAAGTGGGGGTTCCCAGTCTGTTTCTCTCCCTTTCTGTTGCAGGCCCCTGCAGCCTCTCGCCTAGCCTGGACTTCTGCCCCCTCAGAGCGGCAGCTGCAGCGGGAGGCAGCTGAAGCTCTTGTGGGTCTGAAAGATTCTTCCCAGGCTCCCCGCCTGACCTCTTCTGTTCCTCCCAACCCTGCCTGGATCTCCCTGATCCACCCCTGTGGCCCACCAGGTAACCTGTTCCCTGAAAGGAGACGATGCGATAGAGATGTTGGGAAATGTGTATACCAGAGTAAGTAGGGACCAACCAAGATGATCAGGGGGTCAGCAGGTTGAACATCTTCAGACTCATGCCCCAAGCTTCTCAACCTAACTCTTGGAATTGCAGTTTAGAGTTGTTCAGTGGATTTGTTTTATTAATTTTGTGCTCAGAAGAAATGCCCAGTGCCCTGATGTCAAGGAGAATGAGGCCCTGAGAGAGGCAGGGACTTGCCCGAGGGTGTGTGGGAAGACAATGGCAGAGCCCGGTCTCCTGACTCCAGCCCAAGGCTCTCTCTCTCTAGACCCAAGCTGCCTGCTGTGGTCTGGAGAGGGGCTAAAGAAGTAACAAGGAAGGAGATCTGATAACTGCCTTCAAGGAGCTTCCGTTCTACTTGGGGAAAGTGGATGCCTTCCCAAAGCTCGGTGACAGAGCAGATGGCTCAGTTGGTAGAGCATCCGACTCTTGATCTCTAGTCATGAGTTTAAGCCCCATGTTGGATGTAGAGATCACCTAAATAAATAAAACTTAAAATCAGTGACAAACCTGGAAAGAACTAGCAAAGTATTGAGGAATGAGACTTGCGGGGACAGAGGAGGAAGGCTGAGGACCCTCCTGTCCAAAATGACGAATTAGGCATGGTGTATGGGTGGGGGACCTGCCTGGAAGAACTGCTGGAACAAAGGAGATGAAGCTGCAAAGACTTCCAATGAGTCTAGACCAGCCACTGTGCATGAAAGGGAGCCAGGGTGTGTTTCGGAGCTAGGTGGGAACCTATTTAGATACCCCGAGCTTTGTAAGACCAGTATGGTGGCTTGATGGAGGGATTGAAGACAAGACTGGAGGTGGGAAAATCGGTGAGGAGGAAGTGTTTGCCATAATCCAGGTGATCAAGGACGAGGCTTGGATTGGATGGGGTAAAAAAAGGGGACTGCTGGGGAAGGAAATGGATGTGACTCAGTCCTATCCCCTTCCTTCTTGCTTATAGCTCCTGCTGGAGGAAGAGGATTCCAGCCTGTTGGCCCCTCTCTCCGCCCCAGCCCAGCCCCCTCCGTAGCTCTGCATATTGGGCGTCTGGGCTCTATCTCCCTCCTAACCTAGAAGCCCAGAGGTGGAGGCCTCGCTTGAGCAAGGGGCAACAGCCTCCGGGCACTGCGTATTTGGTATTTTGCTTCTGGATTTATGCATGGAATTTAATGTAGTACAAGCTTCCAGCCTTTTTTTTTTTTTTTTTAAAGCTTTCTGGTGCTTTGTTAGCTCTTGGTTCCTTTTGTAGTGTGGATAGTTCCTTGACCAAAAGTGGATATCCTCTTACCCACTTGGGTCCTGCGACCTTTTTAAATCCCCGACAAAGTGAGAGTTGTGCAATTTAAGCTAACAAGTATCTAAATAGGTTTTTGCATGAGTTCACCTTCCAGAATATTTATTTGACATGTGATTCTGTACGTACTCGTGCACTCACATCTGTCTCCATGCATGCACAGACAGGAGAGTATTTTCATTTTGTGTCTACGTTTGGGTGAGAAACTGAGAAATAAATCTTTGTTGTTTTAAGCCACTGAGACTTGGGGAGTGTTTGTTGCCAAATCCTAACCTAGTCTAACCTGACTGACATAAAGGACTTGTTCGGTTCACTTTTCAAATGGAAAATCAGTTATTCAGCAACTACCACAAATAAATACAAACTCAGATTTCTTATTACGGCCCAATAAGAAAGATTGGTAGAGGGAGATGGGAGAGTCACTGATTCAACAATTAAGTGCCTGCCATGTGCCGGGCATAGACAGTTCCAGCTGTCCAGAGGGCTACAAACTGAAATGCATACAGAGCCAAGCCCATCGCTTAAATGAGTAAAGAGGGGCACTTGGCTGGCTCAGTAGATTAAGTGTCCAACTTCAGCTCAGGTCATGATCTCGTGGTTTGTGAGTTTGAGCCCCACCTTGGGCTCTGTGCTGACGGCTCAGAGCCTGGAGCCTGCTTGAGATGCTGTGTCTCCCTTTCCCTACCCGTCCCCCACTCAGGCTTTTCTCTCTCAAGAAAAAAAAAAAAACTAAAAAAATTTAAATGAGTAAAGAAAGCTAGATGAGCCCTAAAAAACAGGATACATGCCCTACCAGAGAGGGCAGCCTCCTTTGGGCGTTAGTGGGTTGTTGCCAGGCAGGAATGTGACTATTGTCAAAACTTCTGATTCTTCAAGAGAAGCTGGAAAACTGAATTTCTATGTAAAATACCTTAATTTTCAAATGTTGGCTCAGTTTTCTTCTTTAAATTCTAGGTGAGCTGAACAAAACATATCTTCAGGCCAGCTCTGGCCAAATGGAATACCTATAATGTTAACCTAATGTAATATTTTTAAATGGGGAAACTGAGCCCAATGAGAATAGGAAGAATCAAGTTAGCCTTTATCAAGGGCTTTTCCTGAACTAGGGAGATTCATGAGTCTCCATTTTGAAGGACCTATAAAAGGTAAGAGACCGTTATTACGATTTATTAAGTACCCCACTATATGTGATTCACATACATGCTCACAACAACTCTGTAAGCCATGCATGATTACTCCCATTTTACAAAGAACACATTTTTAGAAACGTTTAATGTTTATTTATTTTGAGAAAGAGAAATAGCAAGCAGGGGAGAGGCAGAGAGAGAGGGAGACAGAGAATCCCAAGCAGGCTCCGTGATGGTAGCACAGAGACTGATGCAGGGCTCAAACTCACAAACTGTGAGATCATGACCTGAGCCGAAGTCAAGAGTTGGACACTTGACCGACCTAGCCACCCAGGCACCCCAAGAGCACGTTTAAAGAGATAAAGTGACTTGCCCAACATATTTTAGGGGAGATTTCTAGACAAATGAAGGGGGAAGTTTCCTTCTTCTTGCCAAGCCCCAAATCAATTAGTAGGTAATTTTTATAAAACAGAGTGAAAGGTTCAGGACTCCAGGAGACAGGCATGAGCCCAAAGGTTTTTGGGAAAATCTTCTGTTTTTCTACTCGAGGTCACCTTAGGGAATAAGCAGACCATACCTGCATATGTTTCTTAGTCCTCTGCTCTCAAGTCCTTCTCCTTAAACCATTCCACACACGAAGACCTCTTGAGCTACTCCAAAGATACGAAGACCTGGAGACCCCCATCCCCATTCCCACTCATAGAAGGGGTGGACAGAAAGCTCAAGGGACATGCCTGCTCACTGTTTCTTTTCCTGAGGACACCTACATCCCTCTTTTTATCCAAGATGATTGCTGGTGTTGGCATTCAGTCACTGCTTGTTGTTTCATGTCTGGAACCTTGACAAGATGGGCTGCTTCTACTTCCTAACGTTACGGGGTAACAAATCTGCAACACTCCTCAGGATTCAGCACAAGATAATCAAAGACTTTCCTCCTTTCCTTGTTATAACTTAGATATATGATTGCTCCTTAATAGACCTGCCTAAGCCTTGTTGGGCCCTGCTCTCTCAAGTGACAGATGACCAAGCCCACATAGTCACAGAGGAGGGAAACATTGCAACATGAAACATGGCTGAGACCCTGCTTCTCGGGGCTGACCAAGGGTCCCAGTACACCAAGGCCACACCACTGAGGGGAGTAAAGGAGAAAGCACAATCTGGGGTTAAAGGATGACATGAGAAGATGGGGAAAGAGATGAGGAGCTAGGGAGAGTCCCCTCTTCCCAGCCCCTTCTCATTTCTCTGCAGCCCACCTCACCTCTCAGCCAGGCCCTCAGGGCTTTTCACACCCATTGGCTAGGCCTGCTTTGTCTATCATATTGTCATGGCTTCCCCACCGGTGCCTGAGGGAGAGGGTGGAGACTCTGCACCTGCAGCCTTGGGAAGAGGGGCAGATTTCAGAATTGTTCCTGCTCCCCTATGTCACTCTTTAGGTGCAGTCTTCTTCTGCTGTGGTTGTAGGGAGCCAGTGGGCCTCTGGCCTCTGAGCAGCCCTTAGGGATTACAGTCGGTGGGCTGTGAGCACTGTCCTTTGTGCTGCTCCTTTCCCATCTCCCACGTGGGGTGAGGAAAGGTACCGCCCAGCCCCAATCAGGTAATGCCTAATTCATCCCCCTTCTAAGCGTCTTTTGTGTACCACCCTGACATTCTGCAGAAATAACCAGTGAGGTTCCAAATCTGAGGCCCCATCCCTCTCCCCAAACAAGATTTCCCCATCCCGCCAGTCACCCATTTATTACTTCAGAAGTTCATGTCACAGTCTGCCCTTTGAGAATCTATGCCCCCTTCACTTCAGCCCTACATGTGTTGCACATGAATTTAGCCTCAATCCTTCCATCTTGACCCAGAGTTTACCTTCTGGGCCTGCACTTGGAGGCCTATGTGACTATCCTCAGGTGCAAGAAAAGAAAACAAGTAAGACAAGGGTTAATGTTCCCTGTTAATGGTTATTTATGACAGTTTGCATACTTTATCCTTGAGATAAAGGCTATTCCCTTGAAACTCCCCTACAACCCTAAACCGTGCCTTGAAAATAAAAAATGTTGCCCTACATGCCAGGATAAGGGCTGCTCTCTTTATCAGTTTGCAGCCTTTTTTTTTTTTTTTTTCAATAACGGCTAAACTCTGCTTCTGTACTGCCTGCTTGCCTTTTATAAAAAAACGGTAACAAAGACTCCCTTAATTCGGCTTCAGTGGTCTCGGTTGGCCTCCGTGTCTCTCGGCATAACACACGAACCTGGTCCACACCTGACCACACTCCTTGTCCAGTGTAGAACTGACATCATATCGCCCACCCCACCCAGTTGCCACTCAGACCCTCATTACCTGGTCCATTCAGGCCTCATTCTGCTCCCCCAGCCCCGTGAGTCACTGGCTCTGCAGCCCGCAACATATATTCTCAGAGACACAGACCTATAACTCATACCCCCGCCTAGGCCCTAATGAGATCCTGAGCTCTCCCCCAAAGCAAAATTCCTCCTTTTCATCTGACTTCATGTCTCTCATAAGTGGATCAGGCCAAGTTCCCTACAGTCCTACATTCATGACCCTGATCACCCTGAGCTGTGCCGGGCTTTGAGCCTCTGTGTCTTCCCCTCTTAGAATAAGTAATTCTCAGGGAGCAGAGTCTGCCTTCAGTTCCTCTCTGGGAACTGAGAATAACTAAATACATTCTGTCTGATTCCTTAGGAATTTTTTTTTCCTACAAAGTTGATAAACTCTAATGCTGCCTCTCCCCTCACCACAATATGAACAACTTCCTGTCCTCAAACCAATTTTTTAATAGAGTTTTTTTTTTAATTTTTAATGTTTCTTTAAACAATTTGTTTCTGGGGCACCTGGGTGGCTTAGTCGGTTAAGCGTCCGACTTTCGCTTAGGTCATGATCTCGCGGTTCGTGGGTTCGAGCCCCGCGTCGGGCTCTGTGCTGACTGCCAGCTCAGAGCCTGGAGCCTATTTCAGAGTCTGTATCTCCCTCTCTCTCTGATCCTCCTGAGAGAGAGAGAGAGAGAGAGAGAGAGCGAGAGAGAGCATGAGCAGGAGAGGGTCAGAGAGAAAGGGAGACACATACTCTGAAGCAGGCTCCAAGCTCTTGAGAGCTGTCTGCACAGAGCCCAATGTGGGGCTCGAACCCACAAACTGTGAGATCATGACCTGAGCCGAAGTCGGACGCTCAACTGAATGAGCCACCCAGGTGCCCCTAATAGATTTTTTTAGAGCAATTTTATGCTCACAGCAAAACTGAGCAGACTGTAAGTGTTCCCGTGGTCTCCCTGCCCCCACACAAGCACAGCCTCCCCCACTGTCACCATCCCACACCGGAGTGGCACATGTCAATATTGACGAGCCTACATTGACATGTCATTATCACCCAAAGTCCACAGTTTACATTGCGGTTTGCTCTTGGTATTGTACACTTTATGGGTTTCGACAAATGTATAAAGACATGTATCCACCATTATAGTGTCACGCGGAATTGTTTCTCTGCCCTGAAATTTCTCTGTGCTCCACCTATTCATCCTTATCCCCATTGACCTCTGGCAACCAGTGATCTTTTTACTGTTTCCATAATTTTGTTTTTTCGCCCAGAATGTTGTAGAGTTGGAATCATACAGTTTGCCTTTTCAGATTGTCCTCTTTCACTTAGTAATATGAATCTAAGTTTGGCGCATGTCTTTGCATGCCCTGATAGCTCCTTTCTTTTTAGCACTGAATGACATTCTATTGTCTGAATGCACCACAACTTAGGATCACTTTTCAATTCTCTGTCTATAGAGTTATTGAAAAAGGTTAGGGAGTCACCAGTTATGGATTCAATTCCAGCTCAGGCTTTACCTTTACATGACCCTGACCAAGCTACTTGACGCTCTAAAATCCAGTTGCCTAGTCTGTAACCACCTTACAGAGTTGTTAAGATTATGAACCTGTAAAAATTAACACCAAGGACACAGTGCTAAGAAACAATGTTATCTAGGGGCTTAGTCGGTTGAGCGTCTGACTTCGGCTCAGGTCATGATCTCACGGTTCGTGGGTTTGAGCCCCGCGTCGGGCTCTGTGCTGACAGCTAGCTCAGAGCCTGG